GGTTACCGGGGTGCTGGTGGGTTTTCCCCACGCCCAGACACGCGTTACTGCCGCCCTCAGAGTGACAACCACAAAACCTGACAGCCGAGCCGAGAGGGTTAGACGGGAGAGGTTCCCTCGCACTTCAAGGCCTCCATCACAGTATTCACCTTTGCCGCCTTATAGCTTCGCTTAATGCCCGTAATGGCATTACCGGTGGTGGAGGAACAGAGTATGGTGGGTTTTCCCCACGCCCAGACACGCGTTACTGCCGCCCTCAGAGTGACAACCACAAAACCTGACAGCCGAGCCGAGAGGGTTAGACGGGAGAGGTTCCCTCGCACTTCAAGGCCTCCATCACAGTATTCACCTTTGCCGCCTTATAGCTTCGCTTAATGCCCGTAATGGCATTACCGGTGGTGGAGGAACAGAGTATCTTGCATCCGGACACACTCTGGTGCCCGAAGCAGTGCCTGGGATTTTAATGGTTACTGTGAAGCGTATGTTACATTTGCTTGAGGCCTTAATGATAGGCTGCTGAATCTAAAAGCATTCAACTATTAGTTTGTTTACTTCTTTCAAATGTTTTGTTTTGGGAGGGAAACAGTCTAGTGAATTTTGGTTTTGGCAATTCGCTTGAGTTTGTTTGTGTTCTGTTTCCAGTACTGTGGGAAAATAAGCTGGGGGATAAATATATATATGACAACTGAAACTTATGAAAATGGTACTAATCGTGTTATAGTTTGTAAAGACCTTTGTTTGCAAAATAAATCGATGAGTTTAATTGAGAGCAACCCTTTGTGTTATGTAGAAGGTATTGTGGATCTTAAATAAGTGATGCAATAAAACCAGGAAAAATGCCTAGCAGTCATTTCCATCTTGTTTTGACAATATCTGCATATTTTATTAATGAAAAGATAGGGAAGCTTATCCTGCTGGTCATTTTGGAAGGTGCATCTGTTCAACTTTGATCACCACATGTATGTCCTACGTCTCGCAATTCTACCCTCATAACACTTACAGTCCCCTTAAAATGTGTCATTATCAGAACCAATTCTCAGTGTGTATACCTTTAAGATTGCTAGAAGGATAGCTTGGTTTTCAGCATATTTTTCACGGTTTAAGAAGTTCTTGCCTTCATCAGTCCAGCTGCCCCTCTGCTTGCAATTGCTATTCCCTACAGTAGAATTGGTGGACTGAAATGTACTCCCTGTTTAGCTGCTCTTGTGCAAAATATCATTTTAGTTTCAACTCATTTTTATTAGCGGTTCAAGCTAAGCCATTGGACTTTGCATTGAAATAGGTCAAGTATGGGCTTGTGTTCTCTCAGTTCCTCTGGGGAAGAATAAAAGTGAGTAGGCAGTAATTTTTGGTAGAAAAGTAACAAACAGGAGGTAGCATCTTAAATTGCTGTAGGTGTTTGCTAAGCAAGCTTAAGTTGTTGCCCATTGTCAATTACAGCAAATCGTATGTGGAGAGAACATGTCACATGTTAGGACATGGATATTTAGTCTTCAGCTTCTTTGCTGCCATAAAATGTAAGAACTAGTGTATTAAAGATAATTACTGTTTTTAGGAAGTCTTACTTTACTAGTCTTTTTGTTTGCCTTAAAGTGCCCGGCCTTTGCTTTATTGAGATGTATTTCAAGTAGGTAATAAGTACTGTTTTGTGAACACTACTTCATGCTACTTCAGTGTGAATGACTTTCAGGAGAACAAAATGTGTAACTTTAACATTGCTACCACTTACAGGGAATTATCAGTGTGCAGACTATCCATTAGTTACCAACTAATGCTTGTAAACTGAGTGTTAGAAACAAGAGAAAATTGCAACTGTTACCACGAGTTGTTCACACTCTATAGAACACTAATACAGCTGTCCACGTGCAGCATTTTGTAAGGAAGTAAATACAGTGTATATTGGTGTTTTTCAATTAAATGGATGTTTTCAAAAAGTATCTTCTTATGGTCAGAGTTGAAGTACCAGCTCTTCTGCCCCGCTTGTCAGTGGCATGTTTATGTTACCTTGAGTCATTTATGGCTTTGCTTTCTGAAACTGTCAAGTTCAGTTAATTTTCAGATGAAGTTTGTGCCCAAGAATATGACTGAATATGTAAAGTTAGCATTTTAATAGATTCCTTACCCTTCTGTTCTCCCACTTCTACCACAGTCTATTGTGCATATACTCTAGCCTTTTTGTGGTGCAATGAGTAAAAAATACGTGCATGCTCAGTTTCTGCATTTCAGCTAAAAAGCAGCAGGTTCTTAAAGTGTGTTTAGTGGCCTAACTGATCGAGCGTAAGGTCACGTAATTGCAAGCACTTCTGAAAAAGCTGTGCTGTGCTTAAAATATGTGTCCATCGGCTTCCTGATCTGCTTTGTGAATGAAGATGCCTTTCCACCAGTATGGTGATACGACTGAAAGAAAAGCAGTGTTAGCCTTTAAAAGGCATCGTGCAACGCTGTAAATAACTACCTAATGAAGTAATGTAAAAGTAATATTCATTATGGTTACACTAGTGGTATTAGAAATTACAAATGAGAATACGGAGAGATAATCTAACCCTTGGTCCCATTGCAATCAGTAATGTAAGTCCCATTGATTTCAGTGGAAGCAGAACAAATGGGGCTTGTCAATTAGAGAGTCCTAATGGAAATGCTCTCAAGAAGGGCTAGGCTGTGAAGTGTTACAATGGCCCTCAGCTTTATTTCTCTTTCTTGTAGGGATAGGATCTTAATTAAAGGAGCCTAGGATGTTAGTCTGTTTTTGTGTTGGCATTGAATAAGTGGGCTTCATTGAATGTTGCAGAGGTAGGAGAAGAAAGTGACCTGTATTTATTTTTTCTTTATAAACCTGTGCACACTTCAGTTACTCTACATTTCTGATCCTTTGCGTGCTTAGCTTTTTCCTTTTAATGCTTGCAGAGTGCATGTGAACTTACATCAAATAAGTAGGATATTTTTTCATTTTATTTCCCCCCTTTACCATCCCTGCGCAGCTCAAGACAAAAGGAAAGAGGAACGTACTAAAATGTCACCTGAAGTTGCCTTGAACAGAATTTCTCCAGCGCTCTCGCCCTTCATTTCCAGTGTGGTCAGAAACGGAAAAGTAGGACTGGATGCTACTAATTGTTTACGGATTACAGACTTGAAATCTGGGTAAGTGACTTCCTCATCCAAAAAGAATACCCAACCCGTAACAGTTAAGGTGTCTTTTCAGGACTGAATTTTACTATGTTCATGTGTGTTTAAGCATTTCCAATATATCTGGAGCTGACATACTAGCTACATTATTTTTTTTGTCTTACTACCATTTCGTAGTTTGGGAGACTTCATTTGTCATATTGTTGGCAATAATAATCTTGTTAAAACACTTTCATCACTGCCACTTGATAGTGCTGGTTTTCAGCAGTGAGATTGTTATAAACAGTTTTTACTGTTGTTGATCACTTGCTTACTCAATCTTTTCTATAAATTAAAAACTTGAAGATTTGTGTGACCTTACCTGTAGTCATGAATATGCTAAATAAGAAAAAAAATAACTTTTCCTTTATCTGACTTCCCTCTTTGCTTTATCTGACCTCCCTTAAGATCAGTACATCAAGTGGCAGCAGGACCAGGTGTTTGAAATAGGCCAAGCTACTCCTTTTATTTTTAATTCCTCCTTTTATTTTTAATTCGGGAAGGATTCATGATGGTTTTCAGATAGTAAAGTTGGGGATCCACATGTACATAGGGACTCTGGTGTGTAATTCTCCATGGATAATACGTGAGGGAAGTGAAATGCTTAAAGTAGAATTTACTTTAGGCATTGTGCAGAGGGGGGAGACTCCCAAGGTGGCTGATAAAAGAATATTTGAGACATGTCAGAAGTTACTTTATTCTTTCAGAGCTGGGCATCTAATGGCATCCATGATTCAGGTATTTATTTGATACTGGAGTTCAGAACCTGAAATTACTTTAGCTTAAGGTGTCTAAATCACCACTTCTGTATAAACTACTGCTTTGGGTGTCACTTTGATGATAGTTTAACCCACTAGAGAACCACCACAAAACACCGTTGTTTAATATTTAGTTTTGCTGAAAACTTTGTTTTATATGCTTCTGTAGGCTGCTTTATTATGGTTTCATGGAGAGTTTGGAAGGTATTTTTCTGGTAGTTACAATGCCTTTTTGGGAAGGAGATGTGAATTCTAGGGTTAGTTTGAAAGGAGCCATTCCTTCCCTGTAAAGTTCTGGGACAGAGTACAGCTTTACATGGTGGTCTAAGAAGCTATAACTTTGTTATTAGTGTTGTCTGGCTTGGCATTTAGGTTTGCAAATTATGTGAGACAGTTCCTGCTCACAGTTAGGCATCTGCTGCTGTCATTTCACACTAGACCTTGCCTTCTCTTGAACTAGCCTTCTAGGAAGGCTGAGATGGGAGCTATCTTACATTTCTCCTATTGAATCTGAAAGAAAGGAATACAAAAAAGGTAGAGAGAGAACACAGTTGTAGTCTGGTGGTGAAGGTATCGGTTTGTGGGGAGGTAGGTAAGGGTTTTGCTCCCTGCCCGCTGAATGCTTATGCTGCCTGCCTTTAATAGATTAAAATAATATAAAGCGGTGTTTTCTAGCTGATTCTTTTCAGAGGTACTTTTAATAAGTGTCTAAAGTTTATGGCGAGTGATCTTACTGACAAGATCTTGAATTTGTTTTGATGTCCTGAATGTTTTCCAAGAGTTTATTCTTTAAAAAAACTAAAACCTGCTCCCAACTGCACCTGTCACCAAAACCCAGTGATTCCAATTGTGTAGTAGAAACTGTGTTGAACATGGACCCTACAAGACAAGTACAGTACCTGACAGAGGTTGTCCCATATCTTGTTTAAAGGCATAGGCTCAGCTATATGCAAGTCCTAGCAATATTTTTTTTTCTTGTTCTGGAACATAGAAATGAACCTCCTTTATGTTGAGGCTTTTTTATGTCTTCAGGTTATTAGGAGCTGGAGTTGGGATAATCAAGATTCTGCGTTTAGCTGAGAATTATTTTTTTTAAGGTGGTTTTTTTTTTGTATAAGAAGCATTATTTTAAACAGGATTTATTGGCAATTGCTTGAAATATCTTTGAAATGTAAATTTCATGCACGTGGGGTTTTAGGAAAGATTTTTGTTGTTTTTTACAAATAAATTATTGTTAGCTTATTTATAATAGAAAATTTTGAATCTATGCAACAGTGTGGAAATGCAAAGTTCCTTGTGGTTTAGTGCTTTATAATGTTGCTGAAAAGGTAAACAGTGTAAAATTACTTAACATAAGATGGATGTGTCACAGTATTATAGAGAAGTTCCTTCCGTAGCTCAAGATCTAGTTCAGTGCTCTTTAACCTTTGATATAGTAGCCTTTGTGACTCCACAGACGGTTTGTGAGAGGCCCGTGACAGTTGATTAATAACAAAATCCCCAACCCACCGTATTGTCAGTAGATTTAAATTTGTGACTGGATACTGCCTCTATAGGAAAACTTTGTAGGGCTCCGAGAGTCCAAAAATGGATTGAAAACCATTGGTCTACTATCCTCACCTGTCCTCACATCATGAGATTATTCAAAACCCTGTATACTTTTTCACTTCCGTTAGAAGACAAATTACAATGCAGAGGAAAGAGCAGGCAGAGGCAAATGCAGCTGATATCCGCATGAAGAAACGGAATTATAAGGACATAGAGGTTGGACAGGAGGAAAATGAGGAGAAGAGTTGTTATGAGAAATGGGGATGAGAAATCAGGACATAATTGCATAACTCCCTTCAGTTTCAAGGGGGCTGAATCAGGCTTTAAATTTAAAAAGTAGAACAGGAAGGTGAGGAAGAGGTACTAGATTAAATGTTTAAACTTAAATAAAAAGCAGTTCCTGATCTCAAATGAATATTACCATTTGTAAGTACTATTGGTTCAGAAACTTTGCTTTCAAATAGTGATTGTACGTTTATTAACACATGAAAAGGACTGTAAACACATCTCTTCCATAGCCTAGCTAGAGTTTATTGCAGAACATGCAAATATTTTAACTGGTGTGTTGTGCAGAAGATTTTTAAGAATAAAATAAATACAATTTTTCTATAACCTTTAAGATGTTAAAATACTTAATGTAATCATCTCAAAGCTATTAACTTTGGAAACAGAAACATCTAGAAGCTTCTGGGTCAAGGGGAGGAGCTGCATGGCTGCTCCTCTATCATGTACCACACCGTTACTCTGATAGAAAATTCGGGGTTACTGTGGTTACTCCACTTCCCTGATTAACCAGTGCTCTACAATGTATAACAAAACAAAATGTACAAACTGAAGATCCATCCATTCTCATTTCTTAGATTTTAGAAACTGGAGCTGCGGTTAACAGGGAATAATGGTAACATATTAAACCCAGTAATATCTCCAAGGCCTTGCCCACTTAGAGCCTTGGTTTTGACATTCTCAACTCAAAAGTGGAAGGAATTTCCCTTTTATTTCGCCAGCGCAAGGTCAAGTTACAGGTATATAGCCTATCATGTCAGTTGATTTTGATTTGTAAATGGCAAACATATTTAGCCTTTAATTATTTGAAAAGTCAATCTGTATGTTAGATGGTTTTAGTAAGGAACTTACTTTGCACTTATTCTAACTTATCGCTAAGATGGACTACTTAGTTTTGTTGAGTTTTGTAAACCTGTATTAAAGAGCTGCTGTTAGATTAAAGTATGAAGGATGATGGTATGTTAATTTGGTTTGCTTGCCAGTGTGGGAGGGAAATATGTCATAGTAAGGAAATCCTATTGTTTTGCAGTCTTTGAGTATGTAAATGTTTTATAATAATATGTTACAGTTCCATAATGTCTGTGTGTTTTACAAACTTATTAGGCAGTACCAGTCTCATCAGACACTTACATACATTTACATCTATGAGTAGAACCTTCAGGATCAAGTCCTATTTATAGAAATTATATGGCCACTGCTGATGAAGAGCAAGTAAAGAAATGTGAGTACACCTGAACTGAGCTCAGCAATATGGCATGACAGGAAAGAAGGAAACTCTTCAATAGAAATAGTAATAAAGAGTTATGTAGCTGAGTCTGCAGAGCTATTACCTTCTTTCTTGCAAAAAGAGCTCCACATTGAACAAAAATAGAACCTGAGTGTTAGGTCACATCTGAAATATAGCACCTTTAGCAGCATTGATTCTGGTGATAAGAAAACCCTGACAGGCATCTCTGTTGCATGAATAAAAGACATTATTTGAGATGACAGAGTGGATCAAAGCATTTTAACTCTTGCATAGGATATTACTTTGTTCTAGACCCAAAGACAATACTACTGCCAGTTGAGTCAATGCCATATATTGTATCAGTCAGTTAATCTGCAGCGGTGTCTCTTTGAAATAATGACCCATCTTAATTAGATATTAAAATTTACTCATAACCAACTGAACTGTGGCTAAGGCATTTTTCTTAGCATTTATACATATAGTCATGGGAAAGATGTTGACTAGGGAAAAGTGATTATTAGGTAGATTTAGAAATAGAGGATGTTTTCCAATGTGAAGGGTGTTTAATTATTGTATAATGTAGAATCCTATTATTTAGGAGGCTGCTGCTTTTTCTATGGTGTGTTAAAGTAGTGAAAAACATATCTGTGGTGGGCATTGCCTTTGAGAACTGTTTTTTCCATACAGCTGTTCATCAGGGCCCATGCATGAGCCTCAAATTATGCTGCAAGCCTATTCTTACTCAACAAACTTTATTTTGTTTTTTAAATTACTTTGATGTGTTGCACCAGGCAGAATTTCAAAATGAATACAGTGATTTAAAGCTGCATATATTAAGATTCTATTTTTTGTAGATATTCACTCATAACAAAATTTTAAATTTCATACTTGTTTGGTTATACTTATTCCATATTTATGAGGAGATTAATTGTGGAATTTTTATGTAACTGGTTTGTAGTAAACCATGTTGGTATTTTGTTCTTTGCACCTGTTTGATTCACTATTGATTTCTGTCTCTTTGCTTGATACTCAGCTACATTTACTATTAGTTATATTCCTGAAAGAAGCCTGTATGAGGAGTGGTCAAAAGAATGTAGTAGTATCTGGAGCAGATTTTAACATACAAGTATACTATCAAGCTGTAAGAAGATATTTATAAC